ACACATGTTCAGTTAGGATCTCGTTCGTAGCCAGTAGTACGTACATATACACACCTCTTTATTCAGTAGATGTGCACATAACTTGATATCTGCATGGGTCTGTTGCAACATCAGACTTGTCCACTTCACCTTTCCTGACAAACCCTTTGTATAATAGGTTGAGCCTGGTCGCCATATGTATAATAGGTTGAGCCTGGTCGCCACATGTATAATAGGTTGAGCCTGGTCGCCATATGTTATAATAGGTTGAGCCTGGTCGCCACTGTATAATAGGGTTGAGCCTGGTCGCCATATGTATAATAGGTTGAGCCTGGTCGCCACATGTATAATAGGTGAGCCTGGTCGCCATATGTATAATAGGTTGAGCCTGGTCGCCATATGTATAATAGGTTGAGCCTGGTCGCCATATGTATAATAGGTTGAGCCTGGTCGCCATATGTATAATAGGTTGAGCCTGGTCGCCATATGTATAATAGGTTGAGCCTGGTCGCCATATGTATAATAGGTTGAGCCTGGTCGCCATATGTATAATAGGTTGAGCCTGGTCGCCATTTATAATAGGTTGAGCCTGGTCGCCATATGTATAATAGGTTGAGCCTGGTCGCCATATGTATAATAGGTTGAGCCTGGTCGCCATATGTATAATAGGTTGAGCCTGGTCGCCATATGTATAATAGGTTGAGCCTGGTCGCCATATGTATAATAGGTTGAGCCTGGTCGCCACATGTATAATAGGTTGAGCCTGGTCGCCATATGTATAATAGGTTGAGCCTGGTCGCCATATGTATAATAGGTTGAGCCTGGTCGCCATATGTATAATAGGTTGAGCCTGGTCGCCATATGTATATATATTTAAACACAATGCCAGACTCGTCTATTGGGTGTTGTTGATGCTGCTGTCCGATGGTGGCAGTGTGGTTATGTAGCTAATTATAATACCCTCTTATAAACATTTTCTCGTTCCCCCACAAATTTTCTCATGCACCTCGCAATCACATGACATTTTCTCATGCACCTCGCAATCACATGACATTTTCTCATGCACCTCGCAATCACATGACATTTTCTCATGTCTCCTCTAATCACATGACATTTTCTCATGTCCCCTCGCAATCACATGTACAGATCTTGCAATCTCACACTGAATGGTTACATCATAATGATGCCATAGACAGTATAGTGCTACAGGAGTGTTTCATATTAACGACAAGAGGCCAGCTGTCACTGGTGTGTGTGTGTGTGTGTTTTTGTTATGATCTGATGAGTGAATTTTGCAACATAAGCTTGGAGGTGGCTCTATTCAGAAGAAGTTGCTACCATAGTGACTGCGCAAAGCACTATTGGGTGGCAGCTGCAGTGAAAGAAAGTTAGGCAGATGATTTATACAAGAGATCAGTGTTTAAGGGAAAAGCATAGTGCAAATACATCTCCACCCATTTTGCCAGTTGGTTAGCTACCATGTAGCTACACTTCCCTGTCAATGGCTAAAATCAGTTCAAACAGACTTGTGTCATTTTAAGCAGTGATAGGTTGCTAAAGGAGACCCAACTCCTTGGTGGGGTTTTACTGGCAAAACAGTGAGACTTGGAGAGGAAAGTACAATTACAGTAGAGATATATATTAGGGAGAGAACACGGACCAAATTCCTCAGAGGGGCGGAGGAGGGAGTCAGGGAGAGGCTGTCTCAGTCGAGGTCTAGAGGCCGCATGGGAGTAGGTGTTGGGTCTGGGGCTGCCTTCACCACCAACACTGTCCCTGGGCTAAAAGGAGGGGTAGTGAGGTCATGTGAGGTCATGTGATTGCCTTACATCTCTCAGTCTGTTGTGTGAGGAGGTGGAGAAGGAGCGATTTGGAGTAGCAGTTGTGGAGACGCTGACTGGGGATTTCACTGCAGATGGAGTGTTGGCACCACGGTTCTTGCCTGGCAACCTCATACTGCCAGTGCGACTGTTCTTGCGACTAAAAGAGGAACAGTGGGTCAGGTAATGTTGGTAAGAGATGATGTAAATACTCACAGAAGAGGGATTTGGGAGGCAGAGTCAGATGAAGAGGAGTTTAGGGTTATTCTTGACAACTGTGCATACCAACGCTCAAGTTCTTCACTGGAGGAAGAGGAAGGAGCAAATTGTCAATGTTGCACAGTTTCTGATCCCCATCCACACAGTTGAGTGAATAAAACTTCCTTTTATGGCTGAGGCCTACAAGGGCTCACTGAGAATGCTGATACAAGAGGCTACAGTGTCTGATCACTCTAGCCAGTAAACATAATACACACAACCATATCCTGGCTCTGCATAAACCCTAGACTACTTTCAGTAATAGTTTGAGTCTCGTATTACCTATATACCTGTCTTTAATGAGCAGGAGCTGTCTCTTGATGTTCTGCTCCCCTCCAACACAAGGCTGCATGGCCTCCACGTTCCTCTCAGTGTGCTCCTTGTGACACTTCAGATGGCAGCCTGGCAGGAGAGTCAAATTACAGTGGCATCTGCCTACTACAAGTGTGCAGTGTACCTTTGATTACCATAGTTTGTATACATACACGTTTACAGAGTAAACATACACTCAATTTCAAAACGGAGACTTACGCTGACACTCATATGAGCACTCTCCACGTCTCATGATGTTAAGAGACCAAGGGAGAGTCTTACTACAGACATCACAGTTGGACGGAGTGTGGTAGTTGATCTCCACAAACTGGTGACCCCGCACCGTCTTCAACTCCTGGTGGGTGATGTCACCATTACGTCATGGTAATTACAAGGAGGTGTGGTTGGACTCACTCCCTGGTCAGGCTGGAGGTAGACAGCGGTAGATGAGTCCAGTGCAACAGCTGCTGAGCCTCCATCCTCGATATACGACAACTAAACACGACAGGAGAGATTTACTAAAGCCCAATAGAGCCGAGAGCCACTCACCATGAGGATCTTTTTGAGGTCGCTCTGTTTAACTCTCAGAATCTCATGTTCCCCCGGGTTCAAAGTCCTCACAGTGTAGATCTGACTGAACTGGTAGACCATGAGAGGGTCTTTGGTCTGCAGAGAATCCTCATCCTCATACACTGCCAGCTGCTTGTTGGTGAATGACATCACCATGAACTGCAGGGACAGTGTTAACATCATAGTGATGTCATCAAAGAGTGGAGCTTTGGTGGAAGTTATACAGCACATTACTTCATTAATGTACATAAGTGAACAGAAACTACAGAGGTTTACTCACCACTTCCTTCCATCCCTGTTTGCGAGGATTGTGGCCTTTTGGTATCTGAAGTCGACACGTCACTCGCTCCACAACTACACCAAACAAGATAATGTGTGTCACCGTGTGACTTGTTGTAGCATCCACACACAAACTTGGGTCATGTTCTTATGTGTGCATAGTAGGGCTATAGAGAGACACGTACTAGGAGACACAATGTCGCTATGGGCAGGAGAGTCTATCAGCTCCATAGTGGGTCCGTTGCTAAGGGAAGTCTTGAGTGTTGCTAGCTGCTGCTCGCTCTGAATCAACTTCACCTGCAGATCCTGTCGCAACTGCTGCTCCTCAGCTATTTTCTAGAGCATTAAATCACCATTGCATCACCATTACATCATACAGTATGACATCCATTACAGCCTTACATTAGAGACATCCTCCAGCTCCTTCTGGTATTTGCGGACCATGTTCTGGAATTTTTGAGTCTCGTGTTGCAGCTCTCCCCTCAGCTTCCTGATCTCTCGGTCCTGTCTCCTGCTGCCAGAGGATTGCTGGCTCGAGCCTCCTCTGTCAGGGGTTCTTGAGAACATAACCTGTGGTCAGTGGTGGAGGGACGGCTCAGGGTTTAACCTACTACAACCATGTCTCCATACACAAGAAAGTAGCTACATTATGTAACTCGCAATAAATTATTTGTGGGAATGTTACTGCATCACTGAAACAGTATACACCAGTAATTAAAATCTTTAGCTCAACGGGCATATAACATGCTCTATGAATCATTACTCTCAAAATCCGAGAGGAAAACTGCACATCTGCATCAGTGCATATCACTAGATCGTCCCTCAGATAGTCAGCAGAAGTTGAGTAATTAATTAAAGAGGACAATGAACGTAACATTATGCACAAAGTACAGTGTGAACCAGAGGACAGGTATATCTGGTGGGTGTGGTCTCACCTGCGCTAGTTTGTTGATGGCCTCGTTCTTCTTGACCTCCATGAACTTTAGCTCTTTTTCCAGAGAGTTGATCTTGTCTTGTAGCTCCTCCCCATGACCCCCTCTCTCTTCCAGCTCTGCAGAGGGAGAGACAGGTGTACACACATCTCTACCTGGTCATCTCAATGCAGGATTCTCGTCTATATATTGTGACAGACACAGTACATGCCACACTGATTACACAGGAACTTGTGTGTACATGTATTTTGGCCTCAAACTGCATATGTTGAATATGATGGTGAACATTATAATGAACTGTATGAAGGTAGAGCAACAGATGGTTGTTGTCTTACGTTGTAGAGCCTGTTTTAGGTTGTCCTGGAAAACCTCGTTTTCATGGTTCTTTTGATCCAACTTTCGCTGAGTCAGCACCAGCGACTCCTCCAGCTGCATCACATGAGATCATTAGAGACTAACACATCACAGTAGGTCACGTGATAATCATGTGACCATCACTCACCCTGGCAAACTTGGACATTCTCTCGGTCACGTCAGACTTGTGTCTCACTAGAATCTCCTGAATGTCCAGTTCAATCATCTTCTTCTCCCTCTCAAAATCCGCCAGCTTCGACTCGGCCACTGTCTTTCCCATCAAGGCTTTCTCCAGCTTCTTGTGCAGGGAGTCCACCACTGCCTTCAGCTGTCCTCTGTGGAGTGGGGAAACATCTGTTCTGTGGTGTTCTAAACATCCCACAAGCAAGCGGTTTAGAATGGCAAATACACTACCCTTCAGCTACACAGAACCTGGTATGTAATCTAATAATAACCATCTACCAACACAAATTGAAAAGAAACCACATATGTACATTTCCTTCTCAGTGGTCTGGTTTTTCTGGGCTAGTTCAGCTGCCTTTGTAGCCTGCTCCAGTTCACTTCTTGCTGCAGCCTGGACCGGGAGGAGTCAGGGGTCACATGATATCATACACACCATCATAAACAGGCTAAAACATGCATGTTAGCAATAAGCGCCCTTTTGGAGTCTTTATGAGTTAGAGCAACTTACTGGCTGTGGTATAATGTGTACTTACGGCAGTCTCCTTCTCTCTCTCCAATAGCTCCATGGCCTCAGAGACGGAGGTGGCTGACGCCATCGCCTCACTCTTCAGGCGACATATGGTGTCCTCCAGTCTGTGCTTCTCTGCAGTCGTGGAGCTCACTTGCTCCATTAGCTCCCTCTCCCTCACCTGACAGTCACATGACAATCACATGGGTGCCAACACAAGACAAGTGCATATCAAGCATTTGAATGACACTCATAACTTGATGGCAAACCGAGCTGGCAAATGTGAGTGAGACAATGATTCAATACCTGTAGTTCCTCGACCCTCTTCTCAGTGTCCCTCTTACTGTCTGACACACTCTGTAGACGACGTCTCGTCTCCACCTGGAGAGCTTGCAGCTGCAGACAGACAGTCAGAGAGGAGGACATCAGGTGAGGTGCATACTTGCAACCACAGAGGCATAATGTTTGCTACACACTAAGTCTGTATGTACATTACATACAGTAAACCAACCTGAACCCTGTTCCTATGTACCTTGGTCTGGAGACTGGTAACCTCCTGCTGCTTCTGTCTCGCCTCCTCTTGTGTTGTCTTCAGATCCAGGGTTGCCATAGAGACCTGAGACTCCGCCTTCTCGGCTCTCTCTCTGGCAGCCTTGTGAGCCGCGGCCTCTGTCTCGAGCTTGGCAAGGAGGTCTAGAGGGACAACTACTCTAATCCAGACACTGTGCCAGAGGTGTCCTTGTTTCAGGGGTTAACCTCCAGACACTGTGCCAGAGGTGTCCTTGTTTCAGGGGTTAACCTCCAGACACTGTGCCAGAGGTGTCCTTGTTTCAGGGGTTAACCTCCAGACACTGTGCCAGAGGTGTCCTTGTTTCAGGGGTTAACCTCCAGACACTGTGCCAGAGGTGTCCTTGTTTCAGGGGTTAACCTCCAGTGGATTTCTTGTACACAATATCAAAGGCTGGCAACATGACATACACTGCAAGCAGTGTCACAAGGATAGAGTACTTGCAGCATGCCAGGATTATTGCGAAACCAACATTAGCAGCTTTGGTCGTGTGGTTTAACCCCTTCCTCACCAGAGTTCTCCTTGCTCTTACTGTCAGAGGTTTTCTCGCGATCTGCCTTCAACTGATCCACAATATCATCATACCTGCAACAAAGAGAGAGTGAAGGGGTGTGGCCACAGGATATTTGACCTGTCACCTTCTCTTGAGGTCATCGTGTGTCTGTTGGAGGTTCTTAAGAGAGAGGTCAGTCTGGGTCTTCTCTCGTTCCAGCTGCAGGACAGAGAAAAATAGATATAAAAACCAGCAGTGCCGGGATTCGAACCGTGGACCTGTATGATTTAAAGTTTACCACAACGTACACTACACAACCTCATACACCCACATGTTCACCAGTCCACTACAATTGTACCTACCCAGGTGTTCACAACTTTCATACACCAGACCTTCCTGTACAGCACTTGCAATACAGTGTGTCCCAGTTAAAAATATTATTCCCATACATACTTGAACTCCAACACTTGTTTTCCCATGCAGGTTTATAGAATATTGTAAGTGTTACTGGAATGGCATATCACAAGAGGTGTCGGTGGTGTCAGTCATACAGTGGGTATTGTACCTGGGAGCTCATTTTCTTGATCCTGGTGACCTCTTCAGTCGACTCAGTCAATCTCACAGTCATAGACGACAGCTCTTCCTCCTGACCTCTGCTGACCCCTGCAGACCACACCCACTAGCTCATACAGGGTTAAATCGACGTCTCAGAAACATGTCTCTCATTAGAGGCAGGTGCATGCAATGCCATAGCAGACCTCCCTTGTCATTATGAAAAACTAACTGTTTAGTTCAGAGAGTTTGTCTTCTGCCGTCTTCTTCATCTTCCTCATCTTCTCGACCTCGGTGCGAGCCTCATGCAGCTGCCTCTCTAGAGATGAGAGGTCTTTCTGTTGGGACGTCAGCCTTGACTGCAGCTGATCTCTGTCACCCTTCTCTACCAGCAGCTCCTGCAAGGGAAGAGGAACTTTGAAACATCAACAGCAATAGGAGCCTTATTTCAGGGGTTGAATACAGTATGTGACTAGAAAAAGAAAGGTTTTCACATTTTAGATAGGGGTCCACTGCACTTCAAATTGAAACCAGTCAAACCTGTTTGAGCGACTGGACAGTCTTGTT